CTTCTTATTCTCCAAGGAATACGGTTTGTCAGTCTACTGGATTGACATTATTCAGTAACTCCAGCCTGGCGGTTTACATAATGTTCATTCTTTGCTTCTGACTGCTTCTGACTGAATGAAATATGCATATGGTCAAGTGGGAGTTGTTAATTATCACTTTGACACACTGCTGAAGACAGTCTCAATATAACTCTGGCTTGGTGACAGAGAGTCTGTTAATTTTAGCCACACTGAGTATTTTATTTGAATTCTCACTCATTTGGCCACTGCATCCTGTTTCACAGACTAACACAGATACTCAGTGGCTACTTACAATGCAGTCAGAAAATATGTGGACAGTGATAGGTGTTCGATTGTTTGGTATGTTTTGGCCTTACAGTATTTGCATACATAGTTGCCTAATTTTAGGACAGTGCAACAGGACAATGATCCTAATCATGCAGACAAGGCAACTGAGAAGGTTTTTTATATATACTCAAATGCTTGACTAGCAAAGTCTGACATATGGCGACAAAACATCTAATGGTCAGACTGAAATACCCCCTGAAACAAGCAAGAAGTGATGGCTGCCGTGCAGGCCTGCCGGAGCATCACCAGGGAGGATAACAGAAGTCTGCTGATGTCTGTTGTTAGTAGACTTGGTTTTTAGGGACCACAAAACAAGTGTAGAACAAAACGTGTTCACTTTTACTGGACCTGCGCATGAGCCTGTGCACATAAACATGCAATGAGAGGCATTTACAAGCAATATTAAGGTCATAAGGTTTTAGCAACAGGACAAGTAGCATCTCTTAGAGGTTTTCACATTTTATTTTAAATACTTCTTTTGTTCATATTGCCACTTTTAACATATTTCCTTTAGAGCATAGTTTGATAATGACATCTAAAAAGAGTTTTGATGTTGAACACCTGCCCTTTTTAAAAGAAATGGAAGGGATACAAAAGTGAAAAGAGAGAGCACATGTTGACCAAGGGGTACATCAGCCAACTCAGCACACATAAATCACACCAGCTGCATCTAGATTGAGCACAGTGAAATTGCCCTTTTTTTCTTAAATACCCCTTTAAACATTCATATGTTGTTTGCAGGCTGGGAAGTTGAATTGTAAGCTCCAGTAAGTAAGCAACAGGCTGACCTTGACCTGATATAGCTGATATGGTTTTGAGCAGCCAGAGCAGTGGGCCACTGTTGTTTTCCGCCTACCATCTCCAGTCATGCCCTCAGGGCAGCTGCCATCACCATTCCACCTCCACATTGATCCGTCTCAGAGCAACTGGCACTGTGAAAAAAAAGGGTGTCTGGATGTCCCCTCGTTGCTCACTGGAGTTTAACGTTGTCTTTAAAGTAAAGTACATTTATTATCCTTGATAGATAGATAGATAGATAGATAGATAGATAGATAGATAGATAGATAGATAGATAGATAGATAGATAGATAGGTGACATCTGCTGTCAGTCCCCCTGAGTTTATCCAAAGATTTGCTGATTTGCAGTGTTCTCTGATCTAATGTGAGTGACAAAGCATCAGTGCCTTCTCCTTCACTCTCACTGTTTTCTGAGTGCTCCTGTCATGACGAATGGCTCCTGACATGCAGGGACGGGCCAGGGTGTGAAAATACTATACTGCCACTCAGGAGGAGGCGCACCTTGCATTCCCATGGGTCACTCAGGGAGCTGATGTCTACATTCTCCACTAAAGCACAGGCTTCCCTTAAGTCCTGTGACACAGAAGGTCAGCAAACTGTGAAATCTGTGTGACACTGACTTGACATACAACCATAAGAGCCACTCCACATGAAAATACACAAAGACCCAGTTATAAACATGCAAAACAAACATGTACCACTAGCCATAGTCATACACTCAAGCATGCTCATTAACCACGTAGGACACGCCAGTGTAAGTGGGCTCTTGAAGTGACACAACAGCCTGGTCGTATTTTGTTTTGTTTTTTCATTTAGAAATCATTCATCCTTCATTCACTGTATGGTCATGCTATAGGCCCCATTGCTGTTTGGTCCAGTAGTCTCAGGCAGGATGTGGCTAATTGTCTTTCCCAGGCAGACAACAGATGTGAAAAGGCCAGTTTCATACCTGCTGAGAGGTGGAGCTATCCTCTATTCCATGTTTGACATCACCCACTGACTCTGTACATGTGTGTGACAGAGTATGAAAAAGGCGGTTTCACAGGTTAAATGATCGAGGTCCAAAATCCAACCGCTGGAATTCTATCCGTGTGTGTGTGTGTGTGTGTGTGTGTGTGTGTGTGTGTGTATTCAGTGATTTTGTCTGTACACTTTCATGTCTTTGTCTTCATCTCTGTATCTCTGCATGTGTGTCACAGGAGGGGGGGTGGCTCTGACAGACTGCCGAGGGGAGGAAGGCTGTGTGAAGGAGAGCGGCAGGGCAGCCTGGCTGTTCTGCTCTGTTTCACCATAACTGCATTGTCAGATATGAGGATGGGCACTGATTTGAGTACCATGGGAGCCTGACTGGGTGTCAACTGAGGGCTCTCATCCATATTCATTGTCATATTATCATAACACTTCATTGCCCTCAAAGACAGCACATGGGAAGCTCTCCACCCTCATATGCCTTTGAAGACAGTGACAGGTTTTTTTTCTTTTTCTTTTTTTTTGTTACTTACTTACTTACTGACATGATTCTTGTGATGTGAGGCAGCAGCGTCATGTCTTTTAAAGTCATTTAGAAAATAAGCTCCCTTGCTGTTAGAAATGTGAGGGTAACAGCCACCCTTCACTGCTAAATGAATTATCTATTGCAATTAGTCATTGGTCTGTGTAAGTTTGAGTAACAAGATATTTTTTTCTCTCCTCATAGTCATTTATGTCAGAGTGAAGTGGGCAGACTGTTTCTGCAACCAAGGTTTCAGTCATCTTCTGTGTGGTCAGGATCTACAAGGTAACAGTCATACATTAGATATAAACTGTAACACATCAGTGAGTGTGACAGACCATAAATGCACGTCAACTTCCTTCCACAATATCTCTTTCTGTCAACTCCCTCACACACAGACTCACACACACACACACACACACACACACACTTTCTTCAAAACAACCTTCATAATTGGTGTCTTATTTAAGTGCTTAAGCGGTGAGTGTCTGAGGTGAAGTGCATACACTGATACATACTGCATGTTCCAAGTTCCTGGATCAAGCACATAGGCCAACTTCTCTTCCTCAACTCAATCAGAGGATACTCGTGGGCACATCGGGACATCTGTGAATAATTCACCAGATTAACATAAAAGTTTAAAAAAGGGAGTGAGTGACACATGGATGGATAGCGTGAGCAAAGGTCCTCGGGAGTAGGGGCCTGGATGTGCAACATTACTTTCATGGGATTTATGAAACCCTCCCATGCCATGTCCAATGTTAACCAGATGCTTAAAATTTTATGTCATATGTGAATTACCCATGTGAATTCGGAGATGTGACATGAAACTTTCAGTAGTCAGAAAAGATAACTCCAGTGAGTGTGTTTCTGAGAATATGTCTCAGATCGTGCCAGGATGTACTATGTAGTGTTTGTGGTTCACACTCATACATTAGCTCACATCAAAATCTATTTTATGCATTAAAGCTGCATGGAATGACTCAAGCAAACCCATACAAGACATCGTGCTGATTATAAATTGTCTATGTCTTGTTTTTGTATAATTTATCCATACCATTTGAGTTTCATGTCATCGGTGCACCATGATATTGTTGGCTTCAGCTTTCTGTTGCTAGTTTGACTTTTGTAGGCTATGACATATTTAAACTAGGCCTTGAATTAAAGATTTTTTTCTGTTACGTTTCATCCTGTCTGTTTAGTATACAATGAATCCACATGGCTTCAGTTCCTCCTTCGCAGAAGATGGGTATTATGCTGCAGGAGGCGGCAGGTCCTTCTGTTGCTGAACAGATTTGGTGTGTGTGTATGTATGAGGTGACATTTCAATGAGTGTTGTGGTGTATGTGAAACAGAGAGTATGAGTCCTGCTGCATATTTGTGTCTGTGTGTGCAGCACAGCCTGCTTATCTTGTAATATTCTAATTGTAATTGGGGCCGAATGCGACTTCCGCTGGCGTTGCCTCAATGTGTGCAATATGTGCCGGCCCAGCCTCTGTGTGTCAGTGAGGTACTAATGGGTCAGGCAGGCTATGGCACAGTCTACTGCTCTACACCTCCTGCTGTTCCCAAAGGGAGTTAGAGAAGGCAGATGGGGAGGTGTGTCCCTTTATTAGTGGATAACTGCAGGTTGTGTGTGCTGGTGGTGTGTGTACACATGCACGCGTCGGATGCATTGACTTAATTACAAAACAGTGTGAAATTACAAAAAAAAGGAGAGACTTTCTGCATTCACAGATAAATACTGGCAACAGAGTTCTTTCAAATTAGTGGTTTACTGTTTCCTGGAGCAATGGACTCCAAAAGCCTTCTTCTCTTTTCTTTTTGTTTTCATTTGGTTTCTTCACTCTCTCTCACAGACGCAGCCAGACACAGTCTGACCAGAAAAGCTCTCCTACTTTCACTGTGGTGTAGAGAGCTGTTTTTCACTTTCTTTTTTCAGAGGGCAAGCGGGGGAGTTTGCAGCTGCCACTCGAATGCACATATGGGCAGAGTGGTGGTGAGATTGTGGGGTGGGGGGTTGGACAGAGAGCACATGGCCCCCTCAGTCACACTTTTAGAGAAGCTTAAGCTCTCTGCATGCACAACTTCTCAATTTATGATATGAGGACAACATTGACAAAGGAGACTGCATGAGAGTAGAATTTGCAGTATGCTGAACTCTAGATGCAGTAATATTTCTGGAAAATCAAAATTAGTGCGATTGCATTGCCTTCATTTTTTAAATCTTATAATTACTGACACTTAGCAGCATCAGCAGTGACTTCTATATTCACCCTAATGGTTTCTGAGCCTTCAGATAAAGACAAAATAACACGTCAAACACAGCCTTGTTGCACCAAGTGTTTGGTGTTGTGTATTGGGTGACACATGGTTACAGTTTTTTCTTTCTTCGTGGGAATATTATGTTAACACTCTTGTGCACATGCAGAACAAAGATACAACAAAGAAATTAATGTTGTCTGTCTTTCTCACACTCACTCCTACACAGATATTCACAGACATTCAGAGACCCATTTCTAATTTGTTCTTCAAAAGAGAAATGTGGATTTTATTTTTTTTTTCAGAGCGCTGGAGTGGAGGATATTTAATCCATTGCATCCCCTCTGCAAACTCAAGCACATACTTTGTTTAGTTTCTTAATGATTGTGTGTTGGAAGAGGGAAAATAAGGTTAAACGAGGACATCAATTCCTGTTTTGGCAAAGATCGCAAGTCCTCTGCTATTCATTTATGTAATTAGACTTTATTTTTTTAATTATTTTACATTCTGCATTGATCTATGTCATTGAAATTCTTCATGTAAATGCACTGGCATGTCATTGCTTGACTACTTTGATTAAATATGCTGCAGCAGGGTTGGGAATATAGACGTTAATTCAGGAGTAATTGAAATGATTGCATAAATGTCCAGCTTGCGTGATGCCCGCCTGTAAATTTTGCATTGTAGTGCCTTGTCATATTGGTTGAAAAGATGCTTGTCCAGATGGGCTCTGCAGGGAATTAAGAGCACTCAAGCACAAGTAGGATGACAACTGATACTCCACAGACAGACTACTATTACAACTAATGGACTGCATCAATAAGAGGAGATACATTCAGCTTGAGGTTGAAAAAAAAAAGGATTTTACTGATTCAAGTTAATAAGTCTAATTTACTTGGCTTCCATTCAGCTATATAATGCCCACAACTTCCCATTTTATATGACAAGCTAATTTCACTTGTTCTGCAGGATCAATATTTGCAGAAAAAATGCTCTGAATATAAAAGGGGGAAAGTGAAGGATGAAGACCTTCCACTATATGAAAATGCACTGTGTGGCTCAGAGCCCATGTTTGAGGTTGATGATCAGATGATATCACCCTGGCACCAATGGGCTGGGCGGTTCCTTTTCCCGTCTGGGGTTGCCATGAGAGACGGACAGCAGCTCCTTGGGGGCCAATGAAAGGGGTTGTCATTAGAGGCACTTCCTGTAAAAAGTTACTTACAAATATCAGACTCATAAAACACATGTGTGTGTGTGAACGTGTGTGTGTGTGTGTGTGTGTGTGAGAGAGAGAGAGAGAGAGAGAAAGACATAAAAGCATGGTCTCATCCTGCAAATAGCCATTGTATTTGAGATATTACATGCACAAGCTCATACTAATCCACATCCAGGGTTAATCCTGAGACAAATGGTAGCATTTAGTATGATTATAAATATGCAGCATGCATACAATGTAAGACCCTTTATTGATATAAATGTATGCAGGAAATTCATCATCGGTCAAAATTCAACATTCATGTCTGTGACCTCAATACCCATCAGTCAAATTTTAACACTTCACTAAAACAGGAATGGTATTGCTGGAATCTTTTATTGCCCATAGCTACGGTGTATTGGTTTGCTGCATCAGGTGATGAGTCACAGTCCAAATGAGGTTATCCCATCCATCCGGACGTGCAGACATGCTGACACCAGGAGCTACTCGCTGCCCAGCCTATTTGAGCAACAGCTGAGACATCACACACCCCACTAACTGTCCACTGAATGCATGACATCATCCTCACTCCTGTATTTTATATGCATCAGTAAGGGATTAATGTCTCTCAGACAAAATTAAGACTGCTGTTGCTCTGTTAGCTATTTCCCTCCTCTTGGTCGGTCTCATTACAACCTCCTTAGAGAATTTCTATCAGCTGCTGTTTTCTCCTCTTGTCTATATCTTTTCCACTGTTTCCATCTTCATTCTACTGCTTCAGCAAAATCTTTTTTTCCCCCTCTACTTTCTCATCTCCCTCTTCGTGTCTCTTCCTCCCTGCCTCACCTCTCTCCAGCCCCTGAGGCCGCGGCGACATGTGCGTTGCAATCTGCAGCCCTAGTGCTCTGCTGTCTCCTCGGGCCTCCCCATCACCCTGTACCCTCCCCTTGTGCTTTTAGGCCCTTCTGTTTAATTCATGAGCTTCCTGTGGCTCCTGTCATGTCTCATCGGGGCCACACGAAGGCACAGTGTAAATAATGGAGCATCCCCAAAGACGTGTTCAATGCTGACTGTCACAGCAGCGCACCATGTGCTCCCATGGAGAGGACAGGACAACAGGCTGTGTTTCTGCACATCTCTAACACATATGTCATACTCATAACATTTATTTTTACACATATGGTGTAGTTACAGTAGAGGCATGCTGGCATGGGAAAGCACATACCGTGTTGATGTGCCACATTTCAATTCAAAGACATTTTGTACTTTGCACATTATACATAGATACATATTCAAACCAATGAAAATGTAAAGAAAGTGGAATTCATCTATGGCTTTATGCACAGGTATCAACGCTGCACCTTAAATCATATTTTTCACTTTTAATTCTAAATAAATAACATTTACTTTTTGTGTATTCACACTGAACTTGTTTTATTTCAGGAGGCTTTATACTACATTCCTCATAAAAACAAACCAAGGTTCATTTATCAAACAAGCATAACATTCTCCCACTGCTAGAATCTTTACCATTGATCACCTCTGGGCGTTTTATTGGCATTATGCACAGCAGAGGTGGTTCGAAGCAACATCCCATCAGCGATCTTCTGTGGTATCCCTCCTTAAACTCCATAACAGGATGCGCAGATCAATATTGACAAAATGAGAAATCACAGCAGTGGTGAGGAGGCAGGGCCCTCACTTAATTCTCACAGGGTCATCTTCAGAAGCAGGTCTTTAAGATGATCTGCTTGTTAAACACAACTAAGCAATTCCTCAAACAAAAGAACGATCCCTTTGTCTGACTCACATATCTCCCTTTAGGATGTTTGTTCTGTGTACATCAATAAAGAATGGATCAGTGCGAGGGACTGAGCTTTCGATAGGATAATAAAGCTCCAGGAGCCGAATATAGTGTCCTTGTAATTCGTCTTCTTTTCTTTGCAATAGCATCACTCACCCTGCAGGATTTCTCCATAATCAATTTTCTGGGCATCAGGCACTTTTATGACTTACAATAAATTGGACAAACAAGCCAGTAATGTAAAGAGGCCTCAATACTGTGATGTACAGATAGAAACTGAGTCAGCTATGGAGTAAAAATAAACTGAATCCACATTGAATCCAAGCTGACCACAGCTTTTTTCTCTCTGTGGTAGAGCAAAGTAAAATCTTTTGACAACCACTTTTCATATCTGCAGGGGGTGAGTGTTTCATATTTAAAAACAGATTTGGAGAGAAGTGTGTGTGTGTGTGTGTGTGTGTGTGTGTGTGTGTGTGTGTGTGTGTGTGTGTTGTGTGCGCGCGTGTGCAGGTTTACAATGGGCTTTGGTCATATTTACACAGTGAGGCTGTTATTTTTACCATCTCACTCATACACCCCGTGCAAACCAGAGTATGACACAATCTGAGGTAATAAATTCAGTGACAGCCTCCTGACAGTCACGTCTCCACACTGAGCTGAGATGAGCACACATCAGAATTTAATGTCATGTTTGTATGCACATGTATGTATGTGTGTCTCCATATGTGTCAAGTAGAGAGTGAGAGAGAGATGTAAATGTCATGGCGGTTTGATCAGATCATCACAGAAAATTCTCTTGGGGGTAACAGCCCGGCGGCTCACCATGTCCTTATTGATCTGCGCTATGTTCAGCAAATCCGCTATTTAGGCCGACTGTGTTTTACAATCACCTGTGTAACCCCCCACTGTTCAACACTGAGGTGTATGCTGTTTAATTCTGCTTGATCTGGCTCCCAATGGCTGTTAGTGCAGCCCATTTGGTATGTACACGGTGGAATGTGTGTGTGTGTGCGTGCATGTGTGCGTGTGTGTAAAAATAGACTTATTCTTCAGCATTGCAACTATTTCACAAATTCTGCTCTAGTTCACTTCTCTCTGCACTGTTTCTTTACCAAAAGAAGATCTAATGTATTAATGTTGTACTTCAGAGAACATTATATGGGCTATTTTTAACAATATTTAAATTAAAGATGGCACCAATTGTAGTAGAGTATATTCACATTAATGAACATACAAACTGTTTTCATGAGTTGTCAGAGTCAGATGAGAAATGCATCAACACAATGACAAAACATCTTTAGTAATGACTGTGTGACCACAATGGCAATTTGTACAAACAATGAGAAATGCTAATATGCGTGGGGAAAGGACGAACAATTTTGAGAACTGCATTAAGAGTGGTGAGAGTGATATTTCTGGTGTGTGAATTGCGTCAAAACAATTGAGAAAAACTGTAATATTTTTTGATTTATACAGCTTTATGCAGTGTGAAATTACTCTACTATAAAGGGCTCTACGTTTATTTGCATATTTTTCTTTGTGTATTTTGCGAAGCATAGTTACATGCTTGTAACTGTAACATTTATAACATGGAAATGTCCTTATTCTGTTTATTCTTTTCCATTTTTAAATGTGCAAGCTCAGTTTGTGGCAAAGGGAAGGGTGACCTCTTTTATACGTTTCTACAAATTAGGTTTTACTATGGTCAGAATAAAAGAAAAATAAATAATTTGCAAATTTCTTGTAATTTACACACATATTGCAGTGGTGTGTGGGCGAGCCTAAACAGTGAAAATGCATTTCTGCCTTATATTCAAAGCTGCGGTTACAGGAAATAGGAGGAGGGCACTGGAAGATCAAGGGACCTCTGCATGCCAAGAGATGCAGTTTACACAGCTGGTTGTGACATTATGACGGTAGCTGCTAATGACTTACACACCGACTCTCCGATCTGGCAGCAACATTTTCTTTGATCACTTCAGCAACGGTGGCCTACATCAAAAACAAAATGGCTATGTACTACTCAAGTTGAAGCTCTTTATATCATTCAGTAGCTCAATAACAAGCAAATTATCCCACTGAAAAAAAAGTACATTTACACATGAATAATGGAAACCAAATCTAAATAGATTGCATTATAAATCAGCAGAGTGCTTGAAGGCAAGAGGTGAGCGCCTGCTATCTATTTGGCATAATCCTCTCCCTGGAATGGATGTCATAAAAAGTGTTTTACTTACAATGTGATGAAGCTGGGTCTCAACAGAGCAGCTCCCATGGGCTGCCTAGAGTAACACTGTAGGAAGCTTTGTTTTGTGTTAAGTGGAAGAGCGATGGTGGATTAGACACCACTGTGAAAAATAAGGGCACTGCAGGTGGGGAAATCTAGGACAAGCCATTAGAGGAGGAAGGATATTCACCTTCTGTGCTTAACCTGCACGTTCCAGCAGAAACAGCTGTGAAATATCACTTTTCTTTAATACAAGGCAGCTTCTCCCGCTGTTCTGTTCATCTTGCCACTTGCCAATATTAGCTTCACTGACCCAAATAATAGAAAATGACTTACATACTATATATAGCTATACAATACAATATAAACTACTTATTAGTAACTGAGCCATGCAGCCGAACCTGTGCCCTCTCTGGCACTCACTGTAATGATCTCGTTGCTGATGTTTAGACAGATTCAATTCGACTGGAAAAGGCCCTGCAGCAAGGAGCTTGTATTTTCACCAGCGGTAATGTTCTCAGGGTCTCTTGAAAATGGCAGGCATACTTTTTTTGCTAGAGGGCAAAACTTGCTCTGCAATTAATTAAAGAGTATTTTATCCGCTGCTTTTACTAGCTAATGTTCTTACCACCCTTCACAAAGACACACACATAAACACACACTCACAGTCTCAGTCCTGCAGCTGCAGAGCTGCTTTGTCTCTATACAATTTGTCAGAGCACTCCTGACTTGGGTCTCGAAGTGCTGCAACTTCTGCTCCTCTGGCGCACCTTGAGATACAGAGATCAAAAAAAAGGATTTTAGACAATGCAAAGAACCACTTCCTGTAGACTTTAGTGGTGTGTTTTGTGCATTGTCGAATAGAATAGGAGGTCTTGAATGTTGCTCTTGGCTTTTGCTCTTCAAAGCAGATGATGGTTCGCTTCCAGATCAGCAGGTATGGTTTTATCATTACTGGACAGACAGGAACTATTTTTATCCGTCCTTTTCTTCACTGTCTTCCAAAACACTGTAAAAATGCCTCAAGACACCGACTGCAGCTGTACAGTGAATGAGGTGGTTTTGCTGTTCATCCTCTCTCACTTTCCACAACAATGGCAGCTTATGAATTCATAATCCAGGACTGTTTGAATACACACACACTGTATGCAGTACAGAAGTACTCTACAGTAAGAAGTTACACTCTCTCAGACTCGTGCTGCAATTATGGCATCACACAGATATATCTGTGATGAAAGGCCAGACAGATAGATAGATAGATAGATAGATAGATAGATAGATAGATAGATAGATAGATAGATAGATAGATAGATAGATAGATTTCTGAATGCACTGTCTGAAAGTTGGTCCTTTATCTCTGTGCCATGTTTATCTTGTGACTGGCAAATCCAGACTCACCAGTGTTGTTCTGCTTTTTCTTTCTTTCTTTCTTTCTTTTCTTTTTTTTTTTTTTTTTTAACTTTTCTCCACAGACCTCCCCAGGCCAGCGGTATCCAAAAGCCTCTTTATGAGGACCATAATGAGAAGTAAAGCTCTGCATTCAGTCGCGGTGCCTCGGGGGCCTGTTGCATTTCTGAGCTTAGTTTCATGTCCCATCCCATTCAGAAGGGTTGACGAAAGGGCATGATGCACAAACAAAAAAAAGCAAACAGCAGGCTATTCTTAGGAGGCCGGGGCACAGCCTGTGATGTGAGGAGAAACAGATTCACATTCTGCTGTTCTGAAACAATTTGAGTTCTAAGTAGGTGCTATGAGTGAAAGTAGTTAGTTGAAAGTAAATCCACAACTTTAAATGTCTTTACAATATGCGTTTACTGGCACTGAAACACAAAAAACAGCAATGCTGACTGATTTCAGTTACACGTGCATCATAACTTGATTTTAAGTTTATTTGAGGGACCAATTTTAAGAAATCTGACAGAAGGGTATTGTGACTTGTTGGTCTCAATACTGGGCATACCCTCAGTCAGAAGAAAAGTGTGGGTAAAGCCCCCTCTCCTGGTCAGATTTTGCAGCCCTAAAACAAGAGGTGTTTTGTCTGAAGAAGACTGAGAAAAAAAATGACACAGTTTACTCTGTATTCATCTGAAAACATCCTACTGGAAATATTTAAAAAGTAATCATAACTAATGACAGATAATGCACATGGAATCTCGTTTTGTTATATATTCTCTAGTAGATATAATGCGATGCAATTTAAAAATGAAATACCTACAGTGATAATGTCGTGTGTCTCTTGCTTCACAATGCCCGTGCTCATGAGACTCAACGTCCTCCTGAGGCGACCACAATGCCAACAGTCACAGTGCGACTGTGTGAGTCTGCCACATGGCAGAGAGCCAGCACACACAGACACTGCCATGTGTTCTGATGGTTTGACACAGCGATGGGAACAGTTGTCAGAGAGAGACTCTGTTGTTGTCAGTGAAAACAGGCGTCGCACACAGAACCACGTGTTTTGATTTATCTTGTTCTCACCAACCGGCAGAACCTGGAACATTTTAGACCCACCAGTAGGTGGCACTGTAACATCAAAGCTGAAGAAAGTGTCCTTTATATTGTTTTGTGAAAGAAGCAGGAAAATACATCACCATTATAGGAAATGTCAGACTCACATTTCCTCTCAAATTAAGGAACAGATTGGTGGGAATAAAAAATGTGTGTTAAGAGGAGATGATAACAGAAGAAAATACACGGCTTCAGAATACATTTCTAGCAAGGGTTTTCTGAAAATTTAAATCATCTTTAAATAGCAAACATACTGGCCATCTATAACCCAAAGTTAAGGCCATTACATAATCCAAAACTGACTTACAAACCAACTATAATTAATATTCCAACACAAGAAGTACAGATTTGCGATAAATGTAAATAAACAGCCCCACCAAGCAAAACATGTAGCCTACATACTCAGGAGTGCTGCTCTCATATCTCGGGAACAATGAGAAGTAAAGGACAGAAATTACGACCTCTCTGTTTGGCTCAAACTGCCATGAGTTCCCCATTGCCTGCTTCATGCAGCTGTAAATAAAGGTAATTGTACAAAAGCGTAATTAAATGACATAAATCTTGTTTACGACGTCTGGGCTTTACTGAGCCACTGAATCGCAGGAGGAAGGGGAAGTAGGGCCTTCTGTACGTGTGTGTGCGTGTGCGTGTGTGTGGGTGTGTGTGGGTGTGTGTGGGTGTGTGTGTGTACAGTCTCTCTCTCTCACACACACACACACACACACACACACACACACACACACACTACAGTACACAGTGAATGCAGACCACAAAGCCTAATGTCCTCTCCCTTCCCCTCTCTGTGTGGATATGAGGTACAGCTTTATTGTGGCTCTTGCTAACGTCACTTTCTGTGAAACTCTGGACACCCAGAGCAATAATTCATCTGTTTCATTAGAGCTGAGTGTGAGGGGTGGGGAAGTATGGCCGTCTGACTGGCACTCAGTGCTTGGGCTTCTCTGGTATTCCACACCACAGATAACTCAGACAGCTCAACCCGGTGTCCATGACCCTGCGACCTGATGTGAGGGTATTTAATGAGCACAGGCAAGCGAATGGAGCACACAGACAAGGACATCCCCAGTTTAAAGAACAAGTAAATACGTTTATGGAAGGTCAAACAGAGTTCATGGCTGTGTGCTCATTTTTGTTGTAAAAATCATAATGCAAAGCCAGGTTGCGGGGGACATTTAGTCAGTTCCTCAATCAGTCACGATGTAGAATATGCAGCGTCTATGTATTGGATTGAGCTGGCTGACTGTTTTTTTCAGCACCACCGACTTCAAGAGTTGCAGCTGAAGATTACAACGCTGATTGCATTTCAATTTTTAATGGAAAGTGCCAAGATATCCAGCGTTCTTTCTCGTGAGTTCACGCAGAGTGTTTTGCGCCATTAGCGACCCTCAGAAAGACAAATTGGTTGCATTACCAGCTACCTAATGTTCATTTATTATTTGTAATAATAAAGTGGCACGTATTTGTAGTCTCCTGAAATTGATTATGTTGTACAGCGCACCGTTCGCGGAGGATGATGCTTTTTCACAACCTCATAAGTCATTTGAGTCTTTGTGGCAGTTACTAATGTGTCTGCGTGATGAGGTGCCACTGAATCAACCGGGCCTGCTCCGGTTGGATTCAGTGGCACATGCAGTACGACATGATCCCACTGTATGTGCCTTAATGGCAGGCCGCCTCCCTGCCCAGTCAGCTGTGGACCATTAGATCTACATTCAGTGCGTAGCTGATAGGGATTCCCCACAAACTGAATGGATGTGCATGGCAGGGACGATGATTAGAGATGATGCATTATAGGAGCAAACAGGTGAGGAGCTGCAGGGTCTGGTAGAAGTGGATGAACTCTTTAAAGCAGGCCGCATCCATTCATCAAGCATCTCTGAGCCAAGTTCGAGAAGTGGAGCGAATGAAAGAATGAAGATGAAAAGGGCAAGAGTAGTATGCTACAAATGTGTCATATAAAGCGCATTTAGTGTGTGAAAGGGTGAGAAAGAAAGACAGTTACCTGCGTATAGTAGTGCAACATTTTCTAATATTGAGCTCCCAGCATATGAAAAAGCTGTGATAAAAGCACTCATGATAGAGTTAGCTGTTAGAAATTACAGGTGAAAGTGAATTAAGCAATCCAGAGAAAGATCTAAATCATTTCTACAGTAATGTTACAGATGAATAATTCACCAGTAGAAATGGTTCCGTTCCCACCAATACATCTTCAGTTCTCTCCCTGGCAGACTATAGTGAAGCAGCCCGTAATTGTTCAGAGCATGAAGTAGTACTTAAAGCCCAGAACTGTGTAGATCAGAGTGCAGTGCACACTACAGTGACAGGCACCACCAGTAACTAGTCCATCATGCTAACCTCTTTACTGTAGCAGATGAAAAAGTTAAGGGCTCATAATGCCACAACGCTGCTTGTACTTCATTGTAGGCCATATCCCCCATGCGCTGTATGGCAAAAAGTGCAGAGAGGAGCTTTTGAATCAAAGGGAGGAGAGTTATAGCACCAGTTAGAATTTAATGAGGGCCCATAAAATGGAAATCTGAGTGTTCAAGACCTCAATGAACTGCTAGCAGGGAGGAAAAAATTCATCCAAAAGCACAAGGAGGAGGATTTTTGATCCAGCTGGAACAAATCTGAGCACTCGCAGTGCTCTGTGGCATCCTGGTTATTTTTAAACTTTGAGATAAATGAATTCTCACATAATCATCAGAGCTCTAAGACCGAGAGATCAAACACCAACAAGCACGTACAAGTACAGAACTCCACAGGAGTGCCCAGGCCTCCATCCTCACAGTCTTATCTGCTTCAGCAGTGTGTTAAGGAGTATTTCTCTGCAGCGAAAGTGACCCCCCTTCCACCCACCCAAATATTATGCCCCCATACCCCCCCACCCAACCTCCCTCCACTCTGTGGATTATTACTGTATGTAGCTATTCACTCAAAGGTCAAGAAAAGCGATTTGTCTCTCCACCACTCTATACTGTCTCTCACTCTAAATCCCCATGGTGTCTGGGTGCAGATGATAGAGCAGTCTGTCCCTTCCCTCCCAGACTCCCTGACCCCCCTCCCTCTCTCCCTCCCTCCTTCCTCCCCCATATTTCTCCCTCAATTGGTCATTCCTTCACTCAGTCTCTCAGTCACTCAGTCCCCGTATTGAGAGGAGAGCACAGTTGTTCCTAAAAGCATTGTGTGGTATCATTTCACAGAGTGCCGGTTAATGCATTTCTCTCATGATAATTCAGTCCTGGCTTCAGTCATGCATGTTTTATAGTAATACAGCTTAGCCTTGTGATGGAAACGAGAAAGAGATGTTAAGCAAATATTTGAACCTTTTTTTTTTTGGTTTTTTGCAAGTCTAATAAATGTCCCTCTTCCACTGAGAAACCTTGCGTTATTTTCCCACTATATCAAAAGTAGGTCTTCTCTTTTACTTACTCTTTCGTTTCATTTGCTCCCAGCTCCACATCTCACTTTCCTCCTCTTGCAGCTGGTGGTGCAGATTTGATTCAGCACTTCCAGAGTTCCCAAACTCCCTGTTGCTTATTCTCTCTGCTTCACTCACAGATGGTCGTTGCGGAGGCTCCAGGGAAACTAGACCGGCTGGATACTCAACTATAATATGTATTTACAAAATCCAACTGACTATTGTTTTACTTCCTCTGTTCTTGTCTGAGTCCCTTTCATCACCCTGAGCTTTAAGAGTCATTCATTCTCTGGAGATGTGCAGGAACTTTTATCCGTGTATTTGTTACAAGCTTAACTGCAGAGGATAAAGTGTTAGACTGTATAATTATGGAATGTTTAACAAATATTTAACTCTCACTTTTGCAGACTGTAATTGCCTTAATGTGATAACCTCAGGTCAAGACTGAGGCTTTTGTGGTGAGCCGACCTATATTTTTCACATTTATGTGTCCATGAATAAATGGAATATAACTCAAACCTGTTCCATGTGAGTAACTCATTAAAAAAAAAGTCAGAGGTTAACTAGAGTGGTGGGGGACAGTGTTTAATTAGACCATCTTTTCTTGCTCTGTACAGCCATTCAGAGACCTTTAAGAGACCTTTTTGGGATCTTACTCGAGAAAGCAAATTAATGAACCATTGAAATTTTTCAGCCACTAAAGAGAAGGGGGTTCTTAAGTGTGAAATTCAGAGAGAACACAAGACCAATTTAGTAGCAAAACAAAGACAGCCATACTAAAACTAAAAATCTCACACATTTCATTTGCCAATGGATAGACCCAGATTCCATTCAGCTCAAAATACAAAAGTATTAATTTCACCTTGCAGTGAGGTATTTGACAACAGGGCAGCCTGTGAGTAGAGATATAAGCTAGGTGTCATAAATGCCCATTTTATATTGCTGAACAACACCAGCTGAAAACGCAATTAACTTCTAAGAATAGACATTGAGAACAAAGACACTTCAGAACAAAATCACATTTAAAGTCAAAGAACTGAGCTTAATTGTGTTACCAGACTTTGAAGGTAAGTGAAATTCAATTTCAAACTCTAAAGGACCATAGCTGCATCGAATTAAGCCAACACACTCTGTTCAATTTATTCTTGTGAAAATTACACCAAAGTAATGAAATATTATGATATAGCCATAGGGGAAGCTTTTCAAGGATAGATGAAAACATTAATTCAGATTAAGGGCTCTCTATGATATGATGACATAACATCAAGATAATACTGCTGAGAATGCCTTCTTTAAGAGCTTATAATGATAGGTTAGATCTCCACTGGAAATGATGAAACAACAGTGAAATTCTAGCAACGTGTGGCTAAAGTTTTTTATTATTATCATTTTTTTTTTAACAAATTCTGGTTCCAACTTTTGTAAATCATTTTATCACCTGTGCTTTCTTAAGGTTATCATTAC